GGAAGTTCTTAAATATTACTGGCTTTTCAGTCTTGCAAGTCCAAATAAACCACAGCACATCTCTGTAAAGAAAAAAAAATGCTAGAAGAAAGCTGAATTAACATCTAGTTTTTATAGCAGTTTCATTATTAAATATCTCTATTTTCTAAATGAAAAAGAACCCAAATCTTTATGCACTGAGATCTTAACCATCTCCTTTCCTTTCAAGGTTGTTTCTTTAACCCCTCCTCCCCAGCAGGAAATTTTCTTAATTAGAGCAAAGACTGAAGGTCAATATTGCTGGAGTTGTATTGGCCCAACAGGGAAAATAAAATTAGCCCAGAAGCAGCCCCAAGAGCCATGTACCCTCCCTGCAAGATCAGGTGGATTGAGGTGCTATGGCCAAGGGTACCCCAGGCAGTACTGCTCAGGTCAGGTTCTGAGATGACCCGATTTTTGCCTTACTGCTTTAGATTACTTTTTTAATAACTCTTTTCAATCCATATAGCAATAAAGTAGATCTATTTTAACTAGAACATAGAGGCCAAAAAAAGAAATTAATTTTGTAATAAATGTGTTGTGAATCTGACACAAGTCCTCAAGCCATGTCCTAATAAGAGAATATTGGTAAATGAGCCTATATGAGTCCATGTGTGTCAGTTTATAGGTTACTAAGATGTGCTTAGCACTCAGTACCTTTTGTTATATACTGAGTATATAGTCTCAATGACAGTTTTTGAGATGTCTTTTTGATGCTACTGAGGCAGCAGTGAAACAATTGAACTTTTGCTGCCATGTACACATTTCAAGGAACACTGTTGTAAAACTGAAGGCACTGTTAAGGAACGGTGGAGTAGAGGGGAGTGTTTTTATTTAATGGCAAGCATCTCTGTTTTAGTATCAATTATTCCCATTCAGTAGCAAATCCCCTTTATAAAAAGGTTAGTATTCCACAATATATCCATAAGTCCATAAAATCTTATATATTATATATTGTACATTAAACAAGTATGTATGTGTGCATGCATGTGTATACATAGATATGTATAACTAATTACCAGTTTGCTTAAGCTTATTATATGATCAACCTTGCCAGACGTGGCTCCTCTGGAAGATGAAGGTGCTGTTGCAGGTCTCCAGTCTGGCTCGGGAAGGTATGGGAATGCAACTGGGCCAAGGCAATCAGGTTATGGGTTATGCTTTGCCGTCCCTAGCTTGTCTTCTCTCCTAGATGAGCATTCAAATTACATGCATATCCCTGTGCCAACTCAATTTCACTGTGGTACAGTTGCAAGCACTGAAGCTACACACCTCCAACCTTCAGTGATCCACTTGCCTGGCTGTGAAAGATTGTCTTTGTAGCAGGGATAGTTCCATATATGCAGTTCTTGGCTACATGAAATAGTCTATTTATGCCCCTTCAGGATGGATGGCTTTGCTCTGAGCTGTGCTCCTGAGCTTTCCATATCTCATTTCATATGTGGAAAGCTGAACAAACCATATATTGAAGAATTTACACTTGTGCTTGCCCATTTTTCCCTCTCCTCCACAGAACCTTTTCTTTTCCCAGTTCTTTTTGAGATAGTTTTAGTTAATATTACAGTGGAATGGCTGTACAGTAAATAAACGTTCAGCAGTTTATACTGACATTGTTGTGAGCTTGCAGCTAAGAAGATCCCTTGCTAGAATGGCTCACACTTTCTGAAAGGCATGGGCCAGTGAGGTTGATTGATCAACCTTGATAAATCCATCTCAGTGAGACTCTAAAATTTTAATACTGTAGTTCATAATGTTCTCAGAATGAAAATAAGAGAGAAAAAGTAGTGCTCATAGTGCAAATCTTCTGCAGGCTTTTCATCTTTTCAAGCAACTTTTTTTCCCATGATCCAGGACTGCTCAGCTTCCAATCATCTGGAGTCCTACTGATCTAAATACTCAACTATTTTAGAGAGTGCAAAGTGCCATCAATTAAAAATGTCTGAGTGGAATATCTGATTATCTTTCTTCTTTAGTATTAGCTTCCCATAGATCTTTATAAAACAAACTATTTTTAATCCATCCTGCAGGTAGTTAGTGGTTCTTTATCTGAATTATCATCCTGCAGCATTTCTTTCGAGTCACCTTTTAATTTCCCTCTGTGATGATAGATTTTTGTAATAACTAGGAGAATTATATCCAAGCTGTGCAAAGTAATGCATCACTTTGCACATTTGAGATGCCCCTTATCTGTTCTGTGCTGTAACCCCAGCAGAAAAATTAGAATTTGTTGCTATTATGAATTAATCTAAATATACTACTTCTCTGCAGTCTTTTACCTGACCTCAGGTGACTGCAGAGAAACAGTCAGCAGCTGCTGTTTTCATGTTTTGAGGGTTGTTTTTTTCTCCAAATTTGCTGTTGGGCTAAGAACTTGTATGCCAAGTTTCAGCCTGAAGCAAAATTTTATGTCTGAGTTACTAATATGCTGATGGATCCAGGTGGAATGGCCTCATATAATATGCAAAAAAAAAAACCAAAATGTCTTAGGCATAGATATAAACAGACTTCTCCAAGTGAGCATAAAGTCAGTCAGCTTTCATGCTTTAACTTTATTTAATTCATTTATTTGTTTATTGTGCTGCTGTATACTCTTTCCTGAAGGAGCAGGAGGGATGCTCTAATGTGAAGCAGGTGCAGCTCAGCTATATATTCTTTATATTTTCTATTTATCTCTTAGGCTTTTTCTTCTATTAAGTGTGTCTGTTGCCTACATATTTTTAGTCCTTGTAATAATAATGTGAGTTGCTTGGTATACCCTTAGTTTAGGGAAAGATTTTCTGTATATCTGTAAGGAATGGAAATGAGGTATGCTTGTTGTGTGTAAATATTTTCATTCAATGGCTCATTCACATGATTTTCCCAGTGTATTAGCATTACCCTCAATTCGTTGCATAACTATGTAGATGGATCAGGAAAGTGCTACTATTTCAGAACAATTTTCAATTTGGAGTTACTGGCACACTGCACATCTCTTTCCTTCCCCTCACCCCCTCTGTTTGAGAATTGAGAATTTGTGGATTTGTGGACAGTTAGTGCCATTATGGCAATTAGTACAGGTATCACTCTTCACAAATTTGTAGAAATAAGCATCTAACTTTCTCTGTTATGCTTGATGTACACTTCTGAAATGGTGCTTACCATTAGTAATTGGACAAAATGGTAAATTGTCGTAAAATTTGAGATCATTTGTCTGGAGAAACATTTGAAATTCAGATTAGTAGGATGGTAAGACTCTATGGTGAATCTGTACTTTAGGATGAACTCTGTTAAACCACATAAAACTGTGAAAATGTGTTTGCAACTTGTTTAAAAAAATTTATTTACATAAATTTGTGTGTAAAAATAAATGGGAAACAAATAGGAAACAAAGAGCCTTTTCTTGCAAATTTTGAGGCAGTCTTTCACTTCCTTTCTGCACGTTCATGAGGATCTGCTGTGATGATTTGCTCTGTTAAAGACAACGTCAAGCTTATGAATATAAGATGACTTTTAGTCATTATTCTTTATCTTCCTTCTCCTCCACCTAACCTTTTTTTTTATTGCAATATGTCTTAGATTGTTTACCATGCACTTTTGGGAACTATTCCTGTCCCTCTACCCAAATAGTAATTATGATGTTGATCAATAGATTGAATTTAATCCATTAATTTCAAAACTTCCTGGAAACAAAAGATGAAAAGGACAGTTTTATAGAAAATTAATCTGAGAAGGAGTATTGAAAATAAATGTTGTTCACAATTTGCTTTATCATTTTACATTCATAAGTTGGTTATTCTTGCTGTTCTTCAAAAATAAATATTCATGTTCACAGTTTTGCTAAATGTAACACAGCTTTATACGGCCCTAAGACAATGTTTTCACAGTCATTCCATTAGCTATGTAAATTTTACATATTTAAAACTAATAATACTTGTTTACATTACAAATATGAGTCACTAATATGATAATACTTGATAATAAAAGTTACTCTAGATGAAAAGCATGTTTATCTTTTATTAGCAAATATAGAATGCCATTAGAAAGGCCCAAAGTATACCTATTAAAAGGCTTTCATATGTTTACTTTCTAGTTTTCCCACTGAAAATGGGGCCTCATTTCATTGCAAAAGATTCTGGGCTTTGCTCTTTTTATACCTTCCATTTCAGTTATTTTGACTAATTGTGTGTAGCGTAAATATGAAGTCTGAAAATATTTTTTTCATATACAATTCCTTCATTGGACTATTTCATGTTTGAATGTGCGTTGTTGTCAGCAGTAAATGTTTCATAAGGTAAGTTGTGTTTGCAGTTGGGCAAATTCAGACCTTCAATTTCTGTTGTGCTCATGTTGGCTGAGCAGCAGCTCGGGCCTCCCAGTGGGTTTGTGTAGATGTGACCAATGTCTAAACTGAGACGTTGCCGTCAACGATGGGCCTACAAGTGGGGATTTCAGCTTGTGTGCTCTCAGCTCCCTGATTTTTGCTCTGTTCTGCAGAGTGACAGGCAGTGTTTTAGTCACTGAGGTCATCAGATTTGACTTCGAATGCACCCAGAGTGCACTTCTGTTGCTTTTAAAACAAACAAAAAGTCCTTTTTACATAGTCACTGATCAGGATATGGTGTGTTACAGCCTCAATAATATCTTTTCACTGAGCACTTTGAATGAACCGGACTTAAAGTCTGCTGAAGTCTTGATGAATTTAGGACTTGCACAAGATGCAGACTTGACATAGCCAGAAAATGCACTGGTTGAACCCTGTTATTTGATATAGAGTAACACAATAAACATAAGGATTTTTAAACCAACTTTTACACTCAAAACAAAAGGTATTCTTGAATAAAAAGTATTCTTAAATGCTCTTTTTTTTTTCAGCCTGTCTACCTGACTTCTTTCAAGAATCTCCAGCAAATGAACCACCAAAAAAAAAAAAAAAAAAAAAAGGAATATTTTCTGTTCTGCTCATGTCCCTATGCCATCCATGCCTAAGAAGCTTATAGCATATCCTAGGATATATCTTTTACTAGTGGTAATTATCTTTCTCTTCCTTGAAATATTTGGAAATTTCCAGGTCTTCCTGTTTATCATCAGGATGTAACTGTGACCTTTTGTTGTTGCATCTTTTGTAAGAAGAAAGAAAGCTTTGTTCAATCTTTGTCTAATTCAGTTTAGCTTAACTTATAAATAGCATACATCTCCAAGCCTCCAATACTGGACATATCATTTGCTATTTTCATACCTCCTTTTCTTTCTTTTTTCCCTTTCCTATTGTACTACAATTAGTCAGATTTTAAGTTCCCATGAAATCTTGGTCTAAAACATGTGTTTTCCTACCCTCTTAATCTTTTGTATTTTGCAAGACAATAGAAAACCCATGAATTAAGAAAAAGAAAACTAGTATTTGGCAAGTATCCTGGGACCTTAAGTAAATTGTGCGTATCAAACATTTGCCACTTTGACATGTACTGATATTATTCACATATATATTTAATGCCAAGTTATGTCAAGTTGTATCTGCTTTAATCTCTCATTTTTTGGCAATTCCTCAACTGGAAAGCTCTTACTATACTACTGCCATAAAAGCAATTCTTTTCATTTGCTTCCTTAGCTGACAAAAACTTAAGGGTCTTAACATCTTTAATGACAAACAGGATTTCTAATTTGCAGCAATGATTTAAAAAAAAAAAAAAAAAAAACTTCTTGAAAAATGAGGTAATGTGGTTCGCATTTCTAACCCCTTCTGTCATGACTAAAGAAAAATTGTACAGACAAGGACATCGCTGCAGTTCCTTCAAGGTTTGCTACCCATCACTTGGTTTTGAAAATCTTGTCGCAGTAAACTTGCATGTGCTTGACATTAATGGCTATTCCTCCATGGGAGGAATATCCCTTTACAAGAGAGAGATTGTTCCAAAAATCAGATGAAAAATGAAAAATACATGCTCAGAGAAAGGGAAAAGTAGATAGGATTCTTGCTTTGCTTGTTGCTTCTTGTCAGCACTGACACTACAGCTTATTTTGATTACCTAAACAATGCTTAGAGCATACAGAAATAAGGCTAAGTTCTTCTTAGAGCTACAGATAGTTGCTTTATCTGGTTCTTTCAAAGCTCTTTTGCTTCCCTATATTTATAAGTAAACACAGTGATTTAATCTTGTGACAAAGATATCTGTTTACTTTCTTTTTGCAAAGCACAACAACTTATGTGGAAAGTAATTGGAATATACATAATAAGCATGAGCTTAAACTATTGAATTTATTGTTTGTTAATTTGAAGTATAATATACAGCTATTTTGTGAATTAATGGTAACCATGCTGACTTCTGAAAAAAAAATCCCTTCAAAGTTTTATTTTAGTATTGTTTTTGATAGCATGTTTTTCATTCTTTGGGAAATTTTTTCTCTATGTTTTCTCTGAAACATTTTACAAGTCAAAATTCAACAAGACTTTATTATAAAGCAGAAAGAATAAACTGTCATATTTTCTTAACTTCTTGTTTAGAGAAAATAATGCTAGAAAAGAAGCACAATCATTTTACTCCAAGCCTGCCACTGTGTGACTGCTCTGTTGAAATATTTACTATTAAAATCTCTCAGTCTCCCCTCCAGAACTTTTTAGCATTTGGAAAAGAACACTAGTACAGAATCATGTATGTGCCAGTCATAATCTCTAGTCATGCAGATAAGCATGTAAGTTCCTCCCAAAATGCTCTCTGAATGCACTGATGAACAGAGTTGCATATCCACAGTAAGTTACTTTCTTCACTGCTAAACCATTCTTGACCTCAAACTTCCACTCTAATTTAATATACAAAGCTTGAGTGGTTTTTGAACTTCCTCTAGTCCCTATTGAATTTGACAAGAATCTGTCCTAGCTGTAGACTTAATAATGATGTTTCCCTTAATTGGTCACACAATGTAGAGGTTACTCTTTATCACACTTTACCTTTGCAGTTGGTACCCAGCATTGTCCTGGGACCGCACCAGTTTCTGCTTTTATCGCTGGGAAAAAATGTTACAGCTGCTTGCCCAGCTATATGTTTGCCTGATAAAATAGAAGAATGAGTTGATTCTTTGACATTTTAGATGCTTGCTATTTGGAGCAGCAGCAATTAGGTAGCAATTAAGACTACTGCCATAAGCATCAGGTAGATGTTGGAATAATTAATTGACTATTATTTCCCAGCTGTTATTCAGAGTGGCTTCTCCCCTCTTGTAGTTTTTTTTTATTTTCCAGTACATCCAGAAGTTCCCAGTTCCATTCTGCCTGACCCTACTCTCTCCACCCCAATCAAGAATACAGAAGTCATTTATGTTCCTTGTTTTCAAAAGTGTAGAGAGAGTATTGGCTAGTTTCTGTGCCTGAGTCATCCTGTGTGTATGTCCTACCTCATACATCTCCATGGGAATTGGTTGCTCCCCAAAAAGCACAAACAATATTGTGTCCATACATACAAACTCCCAGCTTGCAGGACCTTTGAAACTGGATAAAAAATCCAAAATTCATACATTTCTGCTTGGCTCATTGGAGGTTTGCCTGCATCTGAGTGCCAGCAGATGGTTCTTGCATTTTGCTAGAGCCTCTTTTATTTTCATGATACATGCTCCCACTGGATCTGCCATCTTTGCTTACCCATAAATTCTTTACACCTCCTGTATACTCAGCATCACCTCTAGCTGTCCTTCTGTCTCTTTACAATGCTAGTACACTCTTCTTGCCTCTTCTCATCCCCATGTGCCACTTGCTGTCGGAAATATGGGAAAGATGTCTGTTGGTGATGAAGTTTCTCTTCCATCTATGCCAGTCCACGCTCTCTAAATGGTTTTGTCCTGCAGGAAGGATGCCTATGGGAGGCTGATCAGCCGGCCACCATGAATGCCATTAAGGCCACTCATTCATTCATTTGATTTTTGTACTTCAATAACATATTCCAAAAGTAAGAACTGCCTAAAGTGAGATAGAATAGATGTGAGTGTACTAATGTGCCTTTTGGATTATAAAAGGATAATTGGCTTGTGTGATACCAGTTAGGCTGGCAACCCACTTGGGTGATGCTTTTCCTAGCAGTCTGTGGGCTCAAGATAGGAAGCAGGGTGCGGAGAAGAGGTACGAAAGGAATCGAGATCGTTCCAAGCTGCAGTGCCTCCTTTATTGAATCCTTTATAGCTTTTCCTCAAGTATAACTATTTCAATAAAAGTAAAATTGAAGAAGTCTAATAATATTTTAATGACTTATTTGTGAAACTGAAAGCTAAAATATAAAAGAAACAATGGCAGCTACATTATTTATAAACTAACTAGACAGCTGCTTGTATTGCTATAACAAATTTGTGACTGGCCAAGCAAACAAGCAAGCAGGCCGGACTATTCTCTTCATGCATGGCGTATGCAGAATTCCAGTGTAAGCCTTGCACTTCTAGGTTCAGCTCACAGTCTCTGTCTTTTGTTTATTCAGTGTTTCTCCCAAATCCTATTTTTGATAAGATACTTCTGTATGTATTACAAATGTCTTCTGTCTTGCTTCTCCTTTTGCTGTCAGTGCCCAGCTTTCTTGTGAGGTGTAATAACCCGTATTAATCAGCCTTGACAACTAACTGTAGCAGTCGATCAAATTTGCCATGTGCCCATCTGGGAATGTCCATGTCAACTCATGGTTCACCTTCAGCTGAGCCTGGTTTATTATTATAAATTACTCTTTGTAGTCTAATCTCATTGTTTCATCTCATATAAATCTCCAGCTTCACTTCCATATCACTCTTTTGCACATAGTGATGATGTTCTTTGCCTTGATTAAATTAACATCTCACTGTAATACTGGATTCAGTCTTTTGTAAATAACTGAAAATAAATTAGTTCTTTTTCAGTGTCTTAATACAAAGATAATCTTGCTTTCTTGCTGATCAGATGAGAGTACTGAAAGGAGAACTGTAGTATGTAATATATAAATCTTATTCTCCAGTCATAATCCTTTTGTTAATAGGAAACTACAGTAGAGAGAGAGGGAATGTGGCATTAACTGCAACTGAATATGTTTAGTGAGTTTAGTGATACAAATATGTATCTAAAATGTACATTTCTTTAGCATTATAATTTGTATTAACAATATTTTTTGTGTTGCTTTGTTTTTAGGAAAGAATTTTATAGAGAATGGTGGATATATGACAATACAAGAGCATATTTGTGAGTAGGTATTGTAGTACGTACAGATTTAATCTAATGATGCATATATTTCTTTTAATGTAATGTTGACAGTATATTGAGCTCTATGTAAGACTCTGATCATGACAACACACCATTTCCCAAGAAGCTTTTAATTCAGATTGTGGTGAAGATACTGTGAATTCAGTGTGTTACTTACATATAGCTTGTCTGCAGTATTGATTTTAATATATTTTTTTCATTTTTCTTTCTTCAAAGCATAGAGTTCAAAAAGTAAGGATTGTAAGATCTTACCCCCCCCACACACACACACCAATTCCTTTTGGAAAACAGCAATGCTTAAATTTTCCAGCGGATGCTTTGTAGTGTGATATTTTGTTAGGTTGCCTCAGCCATGTCAGATGATATAAAGTTACATGATGTAATTATGTGACCTGCATTGAGTTATCTCAATATGACATACCAGACAGGCAACTTGCTTTAAATGACATACTTTCTTGGAAACTGCAGATAACCTTCTAAGAGTGGAAAACGGTTGGCAGTGGCTGCCTCAGGCCTGACGTTCTTCCGTATATTTATTATTGATTTGGTGGATGGGATGGTAAATGTAGCTGATAACAGAAAATTATTTAGGTTAAAGAAAACTTGATGGAATGCTAAGATTTCCTCAAGGATCAAGGCAAATTGGTTGACTGAGTAACATAATGTGATAACATAATGGTGGTAATATGCTGATAAAATGTAATGTATAGCTTATCTTCTCCATTAAAATATTACAGTAATGTTGGGGATAATTTTTAATAGATGGATTCAGAATTGAATACTGTGGAGATCTCAGTGAGGCTGCATCTGAATTTCCATAAGATCACGCTGCTCACTAAAACTGACTAATCTGTATGTTGGTTCTGAATAAACAAAACTTGGAAATATCTAAATCAAAAGTCTTGCAGGGGGTGCTGGGCATCCCCTAGGAATTTTCTTGACCTTGGATGTGCTTTTTTTGTCGTCATCATGTTCCCTAGAAAAGCTGTTCTGCTGATTCCACTGTTTCAGAAGACAAAAATGATGAGCTCAGTCAAGAGGACCAATGGCAGAAAGTAAAGAAGATTTCTCACCTGAAGTCTGTTGACCATAGTCACTTTCAACATGCATTGGAATGCATTACAAAAATGCCAACCTTCAAATATGTTCTTCAGCATCATTCTTCCTCCAATCTGTTTATTAGAGTGTCTGGTGAGGATGTCCTATTTCATCAAGAAGTGCTGACTACATGCCATTGCTTTTATTTGCTTTCAGTGGGAGAATTAGGACAACTGACAAGTAAGTGATGAGTTGTAGCGCAGCTGCGGTAGCTGCCATGAAGAATCCTGAAAAATAGCACGGAAATGTTCACACCTACCCTTACTTTTGATAGTTTATTTTTAGTCTTCCGCCTGGCCTTACTCTGCTGTTGAACATCCCTTTCAACTGATTGTTTCTTTTGTTTAATTCTTGTTCCAGCTACCTGCACTTGTACAATTCCAGCTGCTTCAGCTTCTGTGGTAGCTTCCAAGAATCAGGGGAAGAAAGCATTGCTCTCTTACTGTAAAAATGAGAAGGTTTAAACCCTCCTGCCAAGCCTCCCAGGCTCTGGTGGGAAAGCATGCAAGGCGCATAGTGTAACGAATACAGTGATGCTTTCCTGTTATTAACCTGTGACTTGAAATTGATCCTGGAAGGTAAGATGTATGTATGGAGACACAGGGTTTTTTATGATTAAAAGATAAACTGGGCTTTCTATAGGCTGTTAAAACAGATAATCTTAAGTGTATTTAATGAAAAGTTATCAGGACTTAACCATGAGTAATATTAAATGGATTGCCATAGGGATTATTTTTTTTTAAAGAAAAGGTACCTCAAGTTGGCCTATCAAGAATATTGTACAAACCAGTTATCTTGTTCCAGATTTTGTATTCATGTTTGCTTATATACCTGCTAATGATCATTGCTGTTTTGCAAGTCAGTCGCTTAAAATATGTTTTATTCTGGGTTCAGTTCTATTAACATCTCTTCTTTGATCACTAGCACAGGTAGCTTGCTAATGAAGATCTGTTGTGCTTGATTTTTTCCTTGATTAAAAATAAATCAATATATTTTTAGCAACAGAATATATCACTGATAACACTGTATTAAGTGATTGTATTAAGCAAGTTCAAAATATTTGTTTCAATAATCTTGTTGCATTTGTTGTTTGGGCTAAAATGATACAAAATGGACTAAGAAATGTTTGAATTTCATCTGATCTTTTAGTAGAAAAAGAGAAAAATCAATGTAAGAGAAACATTGATTTGAAAGAAAGGAAATGAAAAGTGCTGAAAGATAAATGAAGGTAAGAAAGATAAATTTCATCTAGCAGTGAATATAGTATGACAAAAAAAAAAAAATCCAATGTTGATGAAAAATAAAGGGTCAGAAAGAGCTATCGATAAGGTGCAAAATAATCACACCAAGGGAGAAGCAGAAAGATTAGAGAATAAAGCAAGGTAAATATAAAAACACTTGATAAGAAGTATAAAGATAGAGAATAAAAAGAAAAGTCCTGGAGTCTAAAATAAATGAAATAAACTTGAAATGCATAAAGAAACAAGCTACTGTTGAAGAAGACTATAAGGTACTATAAAAATAGCTTAAAAGTGCCATTTATGTTAACTTTTTTTAATTTCATGCATTGCTTTTTTTTTATCTGGGTTTTTTGTTGTTGTTGTTTTTGTTTTGTTGTGAAATTTCCCAAATTTCAGTGTTGAGTTATTTGACTGAATGTTTATGTAACTTATTTAAAATCATTTTAATGTCTCAACTAGAATAATATCAGGAACAGATGGTAATATATCAAAGATTTTTCACTTTGTGCTTTATGTGTGCGTTTCTATAACAATATTGCATTAATATAGCTTTTGAGACAAATACATTTTTATTAAAATAAAAAGAAAGCATAAGAACTTGCATCAGATTTACCCCAGATTTACCACTTGTGGATCTTATGGTGTAGTATAAGAGAAAAATAAATTAAAGGGAGCTTTCATTTATACTTGAAGATTTAAGAAAGGTTTTGAAGCATCATTGGTTTTGATAGCTCCCATTATTTCTTATTAATGAAATTTCACTAGCTGACACTGCATACAACTTTTTCATAGACTGAGCAGGTTCATCGAAGTTCATTCCTAGAGGCATTACAGGGTACTACTCCATTTAGATTTGCCTAAAATTTATAGCTCAGAATAAAAGTAGCATTCTATTGAAAGAGGTGAAGTTATATCAGTCAGATCTTAAATTCCATCTCGAAAAAATATCGAATGATTTTATGCTCTAATTAAGGTAATAATAAAGCCTAGGCACATTGTTCTGGTTTGTGCAGTTGCTTAGTGCAGTAGTAGCTTGTTTTGCTTCAAAATCAAATAATTGTCCTGTGCTATCCCTGTTATGTAATCACCAGATAAGTCAGTTTGCTTTGATTACCACACTGAAGATAATTAAAAGATAATCACTCTGTGACAAGCATAAGCTGAATGAGAGATAGAGGAACATGCTGCATGGTATCTTTGTACTTTTGCAGTTACATCTGCCAGAGTCCTATCCTCACTTCATACATGCAATCCACCCCATAAGTCCTTTTGGGCACGTAATGCAATAGAATTGTGTGTGAAGTTCAGAAAACGACTGTTAGAGTACAAACCAAGTGAGAAGTTTCTGGTTTTGTCCAACTATGAGCTTGCATATGGCTTACACAAGTGCCACAATATTAAAATATATTGCAGCTAAGGAACTAACTGAGTTTCAGGAGGATTCAGAAAGGTTTCTGGTTTCTATTGGAATACGTGCTTTTAGATCCTATGTACAGAAGTACTAAGTTATATACTAGGTTACAATGTTTTTTCTTTTCCAGGTGAGGGGAAAGTGGTTACAAAATATTGCACTCTGTAAAAATCCCAATTTTTTGGTAAGGATTTTGCCATCTAGCCTATTTCAGAGTAAGTCTTTCTGCACAGTGTGATACTATTATGACTAGTCTAAAATACATAGCTGAAACACTTATGCCAAAGTCAGAGTCATCTTTGTGATAGGTCCACTGACCAACCCATTAAACCATAAACGCTCTCAAATTTGAACTAGCATTGGCTGGTTCGGGTTACAATAATGCTGATCCTCAAGTGGAAGTCAAGGGCCAAAATGTCTTCGGTGTCTTCCTAGACTGAACTGTATTGGTAACCTCCTTGTGACCCATGTGACACAAGTGACCACCAGTTATGCTGATGGAAGCTGTGTGATCTAGAGGAAGTCCCAAGTGAAGGAAATACCACAATCTGACTGAATTGTTTTGCTAATTAGTCATCCCTTTTTCAGCTTCAAGAGGTGCAAGTGTTGAAAATTCCCTCTACAGAAGACTTTGATTGGATGAAACAAATCTGGAGAAAATATCTGTTATGGGTAAATAATGGGTTAATATTTATCCCTAATTAGTCAAATGCATTAATGTGTAATCTGAATTTTAGTTTATTCATGTTTGAAATTTGATAGTGCTGCTTTATCTACCTGTGTATGCCTGTAACTGAGTGTAAAATTGTCCTTTCTGAACTCTTAACCCATCAGAATGTAGTATTTTTCCTAACACTTCAGTAGAACTAAAATTTGTAACTAAATAGCTTAGAAATATAGTTATACATCATCAGCCTTATTGCAGAAATACATATATTGTCTAAAAATGAAGGTGAACGTTGGCTAATTCAAGAGAGCTGCAAGCTCCATGAAAGCTTTTTCATGGTTGAGAAATACAGAAAGGGATCATGGATATGTCCTCAATGTATATTCTACTGCTGAAGTCTTAGATGAGGTTTGACCCAGGCTCCTCTGGCTAAGGGGATTAAACTTCTGTTAATTTATTTGTACTTGCACTGTAGCATGAAGGAGAGCTCTTTTCAAGTGCTGTAGCTGTATTATCCTGCACAGTGGCTGGGAACCTAATTCTGAATCCAGCCTACATAACATTTTCTGCCATATGCCTGTAAACTTCAGTAACCGGCTGAAGCTTCTCTGTAGATCATCTCTTTTCGTCAGTCCCATTTTGTGTACAGCTTCTGGGTGAGGAAAACATTAAACTTCCAAAGCAGTGTAAACTGAAGGAAGATTGCAAATACACATCATGATATTTTCCCTGTATCTACCTTCTCTATGTACCCATCTGTAATCTGTTTTTTTCTTTGTTTGTTTTGTTTTTGTTTTTTTAATTCTGCATGCAGTCACAGGAATAGACTCTCTTTGCAGCTTCAAAATTGCAAAAGGACTAACTATGCAGTAAACAACCTTGATTCTCTCTCTCTCTTTGTACAACCTTTTAATGACTGTCATCGTTTTAGCTTCAAGAGTTTGTGTGATCTAATTAGGGCAAATTGAATAAGACTGCTTTTATGCTAAAGCGTGAGAAAGTTAATTGAAATCAATCCATGTTCAGTGAAAATGCTGGAGACATCACTGATAATTTAAAGCAATTAAAAGATGTTGTCCTGAAGCAAGACAGAAACATTAAGTCTAAGAGCCTGCTAAAAGAAAACTACCTAAAATATTTAAATGATATTATTCAGCTAAAATGGAGTAGGGATAGCTGAAGCAAATAGAAATCATAAAGCATAAATCAGTCATATGTAATCTTCTGTTTGCTATCTCAATTGTTTTCATGAAGTAACAGATCTTTTTAAAAATCCTATTTCTATCATTTTGTGAACAAAGGTGTACTAATGATATAAAGCAATATAGTTGCAGATCTTCCTTCCTTATTTTATGTCCATTGCACTTAAATAAAATATTCAACATAGAATTTAAACTCAAATTCATTTGTCAGATCCTTTTTAAAATTGCTTGCTCATAGGATGCAAAACCATATTTTGCAGGTGTAGCTGTTAAAATTCAGAACCCTGGAGTTGTGCAGCATCCTCATAGATAAGTTTCTGATTTAGAAGTAAAAGTAATATGACATGAGTTCAAGAAAGAAGTCCCAAAACATTTAAAATATCTGTGAAAGATAACTTTACATTTTTAAAATTTAGTCTGTAGTATGAAAATGATGTAGTTTATGGTTCTACCTCCCAGCTCTTGGAGGACTCGTTCTGTTCATTGAGAAAGTTTACCTTATTGTGCTGTGACATGTGCTGGAA